GTGGTTTGAGCTCACCATGGTGTTGTGCTGCTGGCTCTGCTGTGGATGTATTCTTTGATGCTGCATGGTCACCTGTCACCTCTGCTGCGGGCTCTGCCAGTGCAGGTGGTGCTTGTGGTTTGAGCGGCTCACCTTGTTGCTGTGCTTGCCCGTTGTTTGAATGTGATGGATGTTCAGTGTAAAGGGCTTGCTTTGCGCTCGCTCCGTGTAAGTCGTTTGGGTGAAGCAACGGCTGAAAGGTGGCTGTCGCTGGCAAGTGTAGTGTCCTGGCGGTCCTGTCAGATAGTGTGTTTTCAGAAGCCGGGACTAGGATATCATAGTGGGAGTAATGTTGGTTTGTCTCTGTGTTGACCAGCCACTGAAACAGCAGATGGACGTCTGGAATCCGATCCATGCCGTAGATGGCATCCCTCTTGACTGCTGTCGGTGAGAACTTCTTGATGTGCAAATATGCCTAGGGCAATGGCAGTACAAGACTGCAGTGCCGTATTCTTACTCTCAGCTAAAGACTTCCTCAAAACTAGTGCTGTACAGTGTACTGTATTGTACAGTAAAAAATTCTTTTGTAAAACAAATAAGAACTATCAACAAAAAAGTGCAGTTAGAATACAAACATGCCTGCCTCGTCATCAATAGTGCAGCGGATGGACAAGTTCAACACTGTGCCAAGCCATGATAATTCACCAACGTCAACTGACAGATGCTCCTTCGCTGTAGCGGCCATGCTCAGCAACAATGGGTTTGTTTCATCTGTGCTGGAAATTGCTAGGTCCCTGAGAGCATGGGCTTTGGCAGCCTCCAATGCGGCGGTCCTCCGGTTGGTTGCATAACCAAGCTCGGTTCGGGATACCGCATTCCACATTGTAAATTCCAAGCTCCCCAAAATCGCATGGAAGCAGCACAAACCATCTGGCGGTACACAGTGTTTTTCATAGGCTGTGGTGTCCTTGAGAACGGCTGTAGCAGCAAACTCCTTGATGTGCTTGTAGAGAGCGGAAGAAACCAAAGCAACGGCCTGCCATACGGTACGGACACATGTTGACTCAGTTCGGGTCAATTTATGGGAAATTGAAAACAATATACTGGACAGTGTACAGTACTATGTACTGTACTTCAAAAGAGTCTTACCGCACAGCGCGCCATATGAACACATACTACAGTACTGTACTGTATATTGTATTGCACCATGTATCATATCTCTCATTGTATGGTTCTTTCTGTGTTTGTATCTACAGCACTGCATGTACAGTGTTAGCTGCTTTGGTCAGAAAGGCGCCTGGTCTTGGAGTGTTACTGCAACTTGCGTAGCAGGCAGAACCACAAAGTTGTCACCTTTCTGGCGGTTGACCCCTGACTGAGTGACAGACACAGCTCGAAAGGATAGTTTGCTCGAGTCGGTGTCCTTTTCTGCAAGCCATGCTTTTGTAGATTCCATGCCAGCCATGACAAGGACAAGCATGTGATCCTGGGCATCCCATAGTTGCTGGAGTTGATGCTCACATTCTTCACGCCCATCCTCACACCATGAAACCATGCCCAGGACTTCATATTTGAAGTCTTTCCACCGGCTGATGACATCTGGGTTCTCCATAACTTGCAGCACAGTTGGTCCAAGTATCACATCTTGCACCCGGTCATCTCGGCCAGCCAGTACACCTACCTGGGTCGAGTCAGAAGTTTCAGCTAAACGGCGTATCAGGCCCTTGTATACATGGATCGGGCTTGGAGGTAGCTCCGGACCATGAGGCTGGCTGCTTTCCAAAAACTCTGCAGTGACGTCCCGCAGCTGGTCCAGTTGGTCGGGCTTGGCTTCTGAGACCGTGCCAATATCTTGAAGAATTTTCTCCATGTCACCTTCTTTGGCAAGAGTTTGCATGAGCTTGGCAGCCTTCACCTCATCCTCACTGCTAGCCACCACTGCCTTCATGGACTTGGGAAGCCGTCCACCCTGCAGGTTACCGGAGCAAGCAAGCTGTAAAAAACACTATCCTGCAGTTTAAGCGCTGCAAACCTTCAACACTACATCCCACAATGGCTTTAGCAATTTTCTTTTACAACTACCTATAAAAAAACGCAGTTAGAATATGCACTCCATCCATCGCCTTCTCTGCAGCCTGCATGGCCATCATCCAATCCACGCTTTCACCAAAAGACTTGAATGACTGCTCGATGACCTGCTTGGAACCTTTGAAGGATGCAGTGAAACCAGTTGGATTGGCCTTCACCTTCATACAGTCGGTGCCCATATCACCAACAGCCTTGCTGAGGACCTCAGTGATGATGTAATCCTCCAAGATCTTGTCATTCCCCTCAGCAAGGTTTCTCAACAATGCCGTTCGTTGGACGGCAATCACGGAGTGTCGACCCTTCATCCAATGTTTGGGCTCACACCCAGCAGACTCCAACAATGCTTTGCGGCCTTTGGGGTCTTTGAGTACGCAAGCTGTCTCAAAGGCCTTCAGCTTTTTTTATCACATTCTCCTCGTAGACCTCAGAACAACAGAGAGCCAAGCGTTGATCACCCGTCGAGTCATAGGTCTTGTTTTGGAACTTGCGTATGCTGCCTTCAAACCTGACCTTGACAAAGCCCTTGCAGATGGTGATATGGTCCTCAGTTGCCGTTGAGACACGGGGCACGGTTTGCAGTGGATTTGGGATAGTTGGCAGTGGACCTGTGGTTGTGTGGCTGCTTGGTGTGTTTTTTAAATAGGGGTGAGGCTAGTCATAATGAACCCACGGTACCTTAAAAACCAAAAGAATATATTACTAGTGTATGTATTGTACAGCATTGCAAACGGGAAAGTACAAAGAGGTAACTAAGGAGTGCTTTGAACATCAAAGGCTCACTCAATGGTTTACTGACAACTTCTGGTTCCTGATCATCCTTTTCCAAGTCAGAGAGACCTTCTTCCGGCGGTGGCTCACTAGGAGGAGCTAGTGGAGGATCAACATCATCAGGTGGCTTCGTAGACCTGCGCACCCTTGCATAGTCCTGGGAAGTCTTCACCTGCAGCTATCAGCTAGCGGTCAGGTTTGCTGCAAATAGACAATCTACATACGGTATACCATTTATGCGCTATATGGATATTCTTTGTTGTAAACAGTGCCAGAGGCCACCGTTGCAAGTTACAATAGAGGAAATGCAGTTAGAATTCAAAGAAATCAAACATATTACATATTCCTTTGAGTTTCTATCCTCCGTCTACTGAAAGCTTTTAATCATACCGCCATAGCTCTAACCTTGTAAAGTTCTTCGTTGTTGAGAGACACAAAAAGCGTTCTCCTTAGGCCTTTGCAAAAAAAACAAGCCTTACTGTGAAAGAGATGCACTTAGAATTCAATGAATTGAATAATGCCCCTGTAAGTGTCTATTTTCCTCCTACTGAAACCATTCAACCATACGACCAAAATTGCCGGCGTTAGGAGAGCATCGATAAGATAGTGTTCTATTTGGGCCCTTGGACAACCCTTTCAGTGAAAGGAATGCAGTTAGAATTCAACCATTGAATCATACCCCTCTCAGACTCTCAGCTTCCATCTTCCTTCCCTTGACAGCCTTCAACCATGCTAGTCCTGTAACACTGTAACACATATTCCGACTTTAACACAGAAACGGTAAGAAACTGTAGCCCTTTCTGTTCTCCTTATGCGCTTAGACAACCCTTTCAGTGAAAGGAATGCAGTTAGAATTCAGGAATTGAATGATACCCGTCTCAGCGTTCATCTTCCTTTCCTCGACAGCCTTCAACCACACTAGTCCTTTAACACATATTCCGGCTTTTAAACAGAAACGATAAGAAACGGTAGCCCTTTCGGTTTTCCTTATGCCTTTAGACAACCCTTTCAGTGAAAGGGACACAGTTAGATTCAAACATACTCCACTGAGCAATTTCTTGCCTGAGCAGAAGCCTGCTCCAAAAGCTCTGCTGCCACATGGGCCGACGCCGACGCTGAATTCATGGTGAATTCCAACCAAAAATTGCATGGAAACAGCTTACCGCTCTCTACAGTAGTTTGCAGTGAACAGTGGTGATTATGTTTTGATTCGCTGTGCTAGCTCCCGGGATTCCCAAAATGTCAGAATCTCCTAGTGTGCAGCCTGGTTTTGCTTAGAGGCATGTGCAGCATTGCATGTTGAGATTCGAGCTTTGGCATGCTGGAACGGAAGTCGTGCACCTGTGTTTTCCCATCTGTCACAACCCTCTCAGTGAAAAGAATGCAGTTAGAATTCAGCGTTCCATCTTCCTTGCCTTGACAGCCT